AACAGTTTGTCACAGCCCCTCGTTTGTTGTCCTCTTCTCCCTCTCTGCCTACGGTTTACCGGGCAGTTCTATTTGACGATATATATATGTATATTTGGCTGTGACAGACCTTTCTTTGTTTCGTGGGTGTTTTGCTTGCTTGTGATGGGGTGTGAACCGACAGTCTGTAGAGTTTTCCATCTGGTGTGGGTGAGTGATAGTCTGCTTTGACTTTTGCCACAGGTACCTTGAGGGCAGTGGTTGGTGCCCACCTCAGGGTATCAGTTGTCGGGCAGTTGTTGATGCTTAACCACAGCCAGGGTTAAGGTGGATTATCACTTACAGTGTAATCAGTTATGGGATTCTGCAGACCGTTGAGGGTTCAGCCTCCTGATGAGTCAGTGAAACTCCGACGAAACAGTTTGCCACAGCCCCTTGTTTGTTGTCCTCTTCTCCCTCTCTGCCTACGGTTTACCGGGCAGCTCTATTTGACTATATATATATATATGTGACAGCCACAAATGTCTGCCTACAGGCTTATCAGCGTCAATGTTATACTGCTTCCCATTTTGTTACGATTGCTTATCAGCTTGACGCTGTTGAAAATCAGTTCTTGTATGACCATAATGGTCCGCCTCCTGAAGGTAGTAATTATACTACCTCAGGAGGCTTTACTGTAAATGTCTTACAGCTAGCTTTCCACGGTCACCACCTTCTTATGCATCATGCGACGCCAGGCAATGACCTTAATGACCATCCTCATATTTCTGCCTGTATTTTGCACAGACCCGGGCATTATATGGCACTCATTCGTGCAGCTGCCCAGTGGGAACTGTGGGATGGTGGGACAATGATTCAGGCTATTTTCAACATAAATGAATTTCTGTGTGCATTACGGAATCATACTTTATTCTGGATTATTGATCGACTCTCGTGTGAGACCTGTCGGGACAGGGACGCGGTGCGTCTTGGCTGCGGAATTCATCACCTATGCCATCAACATTATCAATCTATTACAGCCGCCGCCGTCTGTGCCGAAGGGTGTCCAACATTTCCTCATTGTGCACATCCCTATCACCCAGATATTTGTTGTCCCTTTTGTGCTCAAGGACGCTATGAGGACTGCAGGATGCCTCACTGTGATGAACGTCCTGCTGTTTTTTTTACATGTGGACAGCATGTCCTTTGTCAGGACTGTTTTGATGGGATGGTCTGTGCTAGCCGTCCTGCTGAATGCTGTGCTGAAATAGCTCTCCTTGGGTATCCTTGTGAACATCCACGTCATCCTCAGTGTGCCTGTCCTATCTGCCAGGGTGGAGGCTCCTCTTCCTAACTGGTCAATAGAATCAAGCGATCAGGAGCAACACTAATTGTAGGACAGATAAAAGAAACAAAGAAAAAAAGTACAAATTTCTGGAGAAAAGAAAAAAGAAAACAAGAAAAAATAAAAAATAAAAAAATAAAAAAATAAAAAAATATGTTGAACTTTGTAGTGACATTGGCAATTGGTTCATCTGTGGGTTGTGTCATTTGCTTTCTTCCTTCGTCTTTCCTTTGACCTTTCTTTTTCTCTTGCCTCTGTGAGGTCTGGTTTCCTCCTCCTTTTCTTTACCTCTTTGCCTTTTGGCTGCGTGCAAGTGGGTCCTTGTGACACACAGGGATGGGGGCAGCCAGCGCTCAACCTGTCATCCACATGGCTGGCCTTGTACGTAAGACGTAATGAACAGGTGGGGCTTTCCTTACTTCTTTCCCTTTCCTTGTTTTGCTTTTTTTCGCCTTCGCTCTGATTCACAGTGTGACAATATATACCTCGTTTGTTGTCCT